CAGGCTGCGTGCTTGCGTGCACGTGCGCACCTCAGGGAATTCGGAGGCCGGGCTTGCTTAACGGAGGCCCCTTGGCGAGCTGAGGGCGGTGGCCTCAGGGCCCCCAGGGAAGGAGTGGCCGCGCAGAGGGCAGGGGCGCGGGGCGGAAGGGAAGTGGCAGCAGGACCCGGATCTGGGTGGATGTGGAGTCTGGGTCCAGGGACGCTCCAGCCCCCCGGCCGTTCTCCCTCCTCAGTATCCCGAGGGCTACTTGGAAACGCTGGCCAACAAGGAGAAGGAGAAAAAGGGGAAAGGAAAGGGAAAGGCGAACAAGGCGGCAGAGCCACAGGAGGAGGAAGAGCCGGAGGAGGAGGCGGCGGAGAAAGAGGAGGAAGAGCCGGAGTCCAGGTCGGCCAAGGGCCGAGGCAAGCGGAAGCGGAAGCTGGCAGGTGGGTGTCTCAGGGGGGAGGGGGCCGTCGGCTCCGGGCTCGGCCGGCGCATGCTCACACCGCTCCGCCCGTCCCAGGAGGCAATGGCGCGGACCCCAGGTCCCAGCGTGGGGCGCCCAAGAAACCGCTGGTGGAGCCCTACAGCCTGACGGCCCAGCAGAACCGGCTCATCAAGGAGGACAAGAGCAACGCCAAGCTGTGGGCCGAGATCCTCAAGTCGCTGAAGGATGGGCCGGTGAGCGGGGCGGCCGGCGGCCTGGGCGGGTCCCCTTGGCTACCGTCTCCATCTGGGGACAGAGACTGCTTAGGCTCCGCCCACCACCCACCCACTCGGGGGTCCCACCAATCCCTGGAGCAGCTTCCCTCTTGTATTTCACTGGACAGTGTCCTTCCAAGGGGCCTTGGTGTGCCCCAAGACTTTGATCCTGAGCAAACTGCCCCCCAGCCCCAGAGACTCGTTCCCCCAGGGTAGGGCATTGGGTTATGGCTAAGACGTTGCTTTGTGGCTGCTCTCCAACCTCCACGAGTGTAACTTGCAGCAGAAATTACGCCAACCCCCCACCCCTCGGGTACAGATGTGTGTATATGCCTAGCTCCCTCTGCATCTGCGCTGGACTTGGGGGTGGGGGCCTTATTGTGGGGGCTGTTTGGGGAGCCCTGTGATTGACCACTGGGGCTTCCCACTTCTCTTCCTTCCCCACCTCCACCTCTCTGGTTACCACCATCTCTCTCCCTTCGTGTTGTTTGGTAGCCTTTCGTATACTTGTGCCTCCCTTGCCTCGCTCTCAACTCCCAGAGGGAGGCTTTGTTTTTGGATTGTTTTCTGTTCACTTCTGGAGCCTCCATGCCCCAATCACAACCCACTGCCACCGTGTCTGTCCCGACAGCACGGAGTAGGATTGCTCCTGTGCATTTCCCAGACTGTAACTCTCTGCTGGAGTGGAAAGCTGCCTCTTTCCAGGTTCGCACGGCTGACCTTGCGGTTGCACCCCACCACACAGTAGACTATGCCGGCAGGGCTCCTAGGCGACCCCATGGGTACTACACTTGAAAACCCAGTGCTGCTGTGAGCGACTTTAGGGCCTTTCACGGTCACAGTCTGCTCCCCTCGGGGCCTCAGTGTTCACATCTTCAAACTGGCACAGTCCTGGTGCCTGGCCCCCAGGGGATGAATGACGTGAGGAAGAGCTTGGTAGCCACGTGCAAACACGCCTCCTTCCGGAGGCTTCTGCCCTGGGCCTCCCTCACCCTGTGCCCTGCCCCCTCCTTTGCAGAAGTTCCTGAGCGCCGTGGAGGAGACGTTCCAGTGCATCTGCTGCCAGGAGCTGGTCTTCCGCCCGGTCACCACTGTTTGCCAGCACAACGTGTGCAAGGTGACCCCATCCCCACTCCCCAGCCACACCAGCCCCTCGGCTATCCGTGTCACCAACTGGGGTACCTGCCACTAGGTCCTCCCTCTCCCTGGAGCATCCCCCCAGACACAGACACACAGCCCTGCAGGACAATACAGCTACCCCTGCGGCTCTCCCAGACTGGTAACTCTTGGTGGGAGCCAAGCCTTCTCGCTCCCACGGAGTGGTCAGATGGGAACAGTTGGCCTTGCAGTTAACACGAGCTTGTGGGTGGGACTGAGGACCCAAGGCAAGCCCTGCCCCGAAGCTGGACAGCTAGTGAAGCGTGTGTGGTCTCTGGACACTCGGATGCTGCATACTGTTGAAACCCTGACTGTTGGTTACCAAGCTGCTCTTCTGGAGAGAGACGAGACGTCTTGCGCCCAGAGAGAGTTGCAGTCTGGGAAACAACAGAGGCAGTTCTCTGTCCTGTAGCGTCACCGTGAGTCAGGTGGCAGGAGTATTAACCAAAAAAGGTGGCAGTCTGAACCCCGAGGTGCTTTGATGGAAAAGCTTGGAGATAGAGCTTGGGGTGGGGTGGGGCGGGGTTGCCCCGGGGCCATGGAGGGGCTGTAGGGAACAGCAGGAGACCGGGCAGCATGGCTGGCATTGCTCACTGCCCATCTTCTCTTGCAGGATTGCCTAGACCGGTCCTTCCGGGCCCAGGTCTTCAGCTGTCCTGCTTGCCGTTATGACCTGGGACAGAACTACACCAGGCAGGTCAACCAGCCGCTGCAGGATGTCCTCAATCAGCTCTTCCCCGGCTATGGCAACGGGCGGTGATGGCGCAGGCACCTAGCGCCACCACCCCTCCCTCCCCGCACCCCCACTGCCCAGCAAGGGGGGGGAGATTACCCTTTCCAGCCCTCATTTGACTTGATTTCCAGTGGGCTTAATGTCCACATGTAGGTCTCTCAAACCCCCCTAACATGGCTTGTCTTCCTGTCCTTTTTTAAGAAAAAAGCAAAAACAAAAAACCTGTACACACCCAGGAAACTTTTATAGATTGTGGCAAGAGAAGAAAAAACAAGTAGGACTTCTCCATTGCTCATTTTAAAGAAAGCCTGCCGTTTTTCCACCAGGGGAAAGGCAAAAAAAGACTGTTTTTATGGCGAGGCTGAGGGTTGGGGTTGGGTTTTGGCTTGAAAGATGGGATTACAAACTGCTTCCCTTCGAGAGAAGGCAACCAGGCCCCCAACAGTACGGGGTGGCCCAGGGCCTGTCACCGCCACAGAGAAGCCCGAGGGGCCGAGCCCAGCCACTGAGAACTGTCCTTCCCCCGGTGTGTGGCTCAGGCTCCGAAGGGCCAGCACTGCCGTCGTCATATGGGGCCGAATTCCCACCCAGGACATGGCGGGGCTGCTGGAGCCATCACCTGGAGGTGCAGAGGAGAGACCGGGTTTGGCCTCCTGCGAACTCACCCTGGTGGCTCCCACAGCAGCGGTTCAAGGACACACAGCAGTTTTGGAGCGCTTTGGAGACCAGCCCCTCTGAGGCCCCCCTGCCCCGCCCCAGCCACCACCGGAAGCCCTGCTGACAAACGCACAAAGCCTCGTCCAAGTGCCTTTGGATTTTTGTTGTTTTGCCTCTAGTAGCATCGAAAACAGCCAGATCAAAAAGCCGCTCGCTCCTGCGGTCTTGGTGGTTCGACCCTGCCTTTTAGCCCAGTTTTTACACGAGAATTTTAGCCTGACAGCGGACAATTACAAGAGGGGTGTCTGTTTGTTTTTTTTTAACACTTTTGAAATGAAATGTTTTTGTAGTTACTGTGTATGTACCCAGGGAGCTTTAAAGTAGTGGTGGTGGTGGTTTTGCTTTTGGTGGGGTGTGTTGGTTTGGTTGCTGGTTTTTGTTTTACACTTCTTTGGAATGGTTTAAGTCTGGCGATCGGACCACAGTTTGCAGCTCATCCTCACGATCCACAGACTAGACACACTCATCTGCACACAGCCTGGTGCCTACTCAGAGGTGGTTTGGTTTGGTTTGGTTTCAAACCCCTCTCTCGTGATAAGGCTGTTAATGTCTTAGGGAAATAATAATAAAACTATGACAGATTCCCTTGTGTAAGCTTTTTGGAAAGCATTCAACAATTTTATCCAAATTTTAGATTCCCACAATAAATGTCTTTGACAGCTCCAGCTTGTGGTGTCTTCCTGCGGGGACGGGGGCAAGGACAGGTGTGGGGGTGCTAACAGCCTCTTCCGTTCTAGCCACCTGGATTCCTGTTTTCCGGAGTGGGGGCTGCTGCCTCCATGGCTCCCTCTAGTGTGTCAAGAGTAGGACCGACCGTAGCACAGGCTTTTAGAGGGTGAACACCGGAGCTTTCTAAGGGGTCCCTTGGTAGACTCGGGTTGTGTTCCACCAGTTTTACCCTCCAGGGTCTCCTGGAGAGAGGTCTTCTGCCCTTTCCCTGTGCAATTCTGAGCTAAAGAGTGATGGGCACACTACAGTCTGCCGGGGCCAGATCTGGCCCACTGCCTGGTTTTATAAAGTTTTATTGGCACACAGTTCTGCCAACTGGTGCACACTATAAACCTTCAAGCCCAGAGCCTCTCATCTCACTGCCATCGAGTCAAAGCCAGCTCACCCCATAGGACAGTAG